GATTCTCCTGCCTAAGCCTCCTGAGTAGCTGGGACTACACGTGCCCACCACCATGCTCAGCTGATTTTTATACTTTTAGTAGAGAGGGAATTTCATCATGTTTGCCAGGATGATCTCGATCTCCTGCCCTTGTGATCCACCCGCCTTGGCCTCCCAAAGTACTGGGATTACAGGCATCCACTGAGCCGGGCATTGCTCTTTAACTTTTATAATTTGATCTTTACTTCTGTTATTGTAATTCAGTCCAAAGAAAAATAGTGTGAGGAAAATAAAAATAACATCAAAAATGCTAATATTCTGTTCATCAAAGTTTGCAGTGAAATATCCCATTACAGCCAGGCAGGGTGACTTACCTCTGTAATCCTAGCACTTGGGAGGCCAAGGCAGGTGAATCGCTTGAGGTCAGAATTGGAGACGAGGCTGGCCAACATGGCAAAACTGCATCTCTATGAAAAATACAAACATTAGCCAGTTGTGGTGGTGAGGATTGTAATCTTAGCTACTTGGGAAGCTGAGATAGGAAAATCACCTAAACCCAGGAGGCAGAGGAGCTAAGATCACCCCATTGCACTCTAGCATGGGTGACAAGAGCAAAACTCCAGCTCAAAAGAAAAAAAAAAAAAAGAAAAGATAGGTAGATCCCATTACTTTAAGGCAATGTAGATACAGCCAGACTTTCTACAGAAATCTGAACCACATTATAAAGCGAGAAAAACATACCAGCTAATATTATTTAATACATACAGTACTAAACGGAAGAGGTAATATTTTCAAAACATAAACATTAGTGTAACCTTATTAGACTTATAAAAATAAATTTTTAAATAACAGAAACAGAAGATTCCCTGAACTGCAACTTTTAAGCTAGCATTTACTTACTCAAGATTCAACTAATATAACAGCTATAAAAAGTCAAGAGCTGGGCTGGGCATGGTGGCTCACGTCCGTAATCCCCACATTTTGGGAAGCTGAGGCAGGCAAATCACCTGAGGTAGACCATTCCAGACTAGCCTGACCAACATGAAAAAACTCCATCTCTAATAGAATATAAAATTAACTGTGGCATATGCCTGTAATCCCAGCTACTCTGGAGGCTGAGGCAGAAGAATAGCTTGAACCCGGGAAGCAGAGGTTGCAGTGAGTTGAGATTGAGCTATTGCCCTACAGCCTGGGCCACAAGAGCAAAACTCCATCTCAAAAAAAAAAAAAGTTAAGAGCTAACCAGGTGGGAGTGGCTCACACCTGTAACCCCAGAACTGTGGGAGGCCAAGGTGGGTAGATCAACTGAGGTCAGGAGTTCGAGACTAGCCTGGCCAATATGGTGAAACCCCATCTCTACTAAAAATATAAAAATTAGCCAGGCGTGGTGGCACTTGCCTGTAGTCCTGGCTACTAGGGAGGCTGAGGCAAGAGGATCGATTCAACCGGAGAAGTGGTGGTTTCTGTGAGCTGAGATCACACCACTGCACTCCAGCCTGAGTGAAAGAGCAAGACTCTGTTTTCAAGGAAAAAAAAAAAAAGAAAAGTCAAGAGCATGGGGAATATTAAAATGAGACATAACCAACAGTCTCCCATCAAAACAGCTCCATTTATTTGCTATCAGTATGTGTTAAGGACTATCTGCTAAACACTGATATTTGTACTAATGTTTCAAGCGCACATTAGTGCTTAGATTTAATATCCTTTGCTGTATACTAAACTTGAATATCATACTTTCGTATTACAAAAAAAGCATCTTTCCCCAAGGCAAATACCATTAATATTGCTTTAAAATTATAAAATGTGAAGATTGTCTTTATAATTTCACAACAGCTGAATATTGTTGTCTTTAAACAAAGTAATCTAATAAACCATCACAACAAAAGCCCCACAACATAATCAGTTTCACCTTATAAAAGCACTGACATTTATAAAAATTGTCAATTTATAAAACAGTGAATTCCTAAAACTTTAATAGCAAATGATTTTTACTCAGAATAGTACTTAATTAACAATATCATAAAATCATAGGCCGGGTATAGTGGCTCACACCTGAAATTCCAGCACTTTGGGAGGCCAAGCCGGGTGGATCACTTGAGGTCAGGAGTTCAAGACCAGCCTGGCCAACATGGTGAAACCCTGTCTCTACTAAAAATACACAGGTTAGCTGAGCATGGTGGTGCACGCCTATGATCCCTGCTACTTGGGAGGCTGAGGCAGAAAAATTGCTTGAAACCGTGAGGCAGAGGTGGCAGTGAGCCAAGATCTCATGCCACTGCACTCCAGTCTGTGCGCAACAGAGCAAGATTGTCTCAAAAAAATAAATAAATAAATAAAAATGTAAGGAAGACGCATTCATTATGGATTTATGCATTACCTGGTATTATGTGAAGCACTGAAGGATGTTATCAAATCTTTGAGATAGATCTTCAGTTCTCACGACCACTAAAGAGCTACTAAGTCTCAGACAGGATAAGAGACTTGGCCAAGCTGACCTCATGATCTGCCCCCCTTGGCCTCCCAAATTCCTGGGATTACAGGTAAATATCAAATTCAACCAAGCAGATCAAGAGAAACAATTAGTTTTTAAAAATCCAATATTAATTAAATCCCTAAGATTCAGGGCTTTGCAAAAATATGTAAATAAATCCCCAATATCCATGCTGAAAGTTTAAAAGAAATGCTAACTGATAATTTAAGAGATACAACTTTTCCTTAGCTTTGCACTAATCTAGAAAAAAAGAATGTTTCTAATATTTAGACGGACACTACAAGATGAACAGTGACTCCACTGTGTAAACGCTCATGAACAAAGTATTGCAGGACTTGTCCAGTTTAGACTTACCGTATTTTCTTTCAGATACTTCTTCAATGTGTTTACATAGACCAGTGATACGATCATTGCATTTCTCTGAAAATTGAGGAAAGGTCGATTGTCAGTAATATGTCCCTATGTCAGAGCAACACTAACATATAACGACTTATTTCCTATATTTTCCATCTCAACAGTCCATATCATTTTACTTCTTTTGAAAAAATTTTTTCCCTTTTTTGGTGGTTCTTATAATTAGTTTAATTGGAGACTGTAAGAAAAGTTTTCAAGTTTAGTACCTCTTTTTATCCTTTTAATTTCTGAAAAGGAGGAGGGCAGAAAAGATCAATCAAATTAAATAGAACAAGGAGGCCACAGTGAGAATGTCTCCAGGGATCTTTTAGCAAATTTCCTAAAAGATCCACATGTCTCAGCTGTGTGGAAATAAGACTTTACAGCAGCCAGTGAGGTGATGCAGGCCTGTAATCCTAGCACTTAGGGAGCAGAGGTAAGTGGATCGCTTTCAGCTGAGGGCAACATAGCAGAAACTTCCGTCCCCTCCCCCACCTTCCACTACCCCCTCCATGTCCCCATCTCCTCCAAAAATACAAAACTTAGCCAGACATGGTGGCAGGCACCTGTAGTCCCAGCTACTCAGGAGGTTGAGGTAGAAGAATCACTTGAACCCAAAAGACAAATGTTGCAGGGAACGAAGACTGTAGCCAGCCTGTGCAAAAGAGCAAGACTTCATCTCAGAAAAGAAAAAAACCAAAAAAAAAAAACAAGTTTAAGAGGAACCCCAAAGCAAAAATCCCAACCCTTTTCCTCCCAATCACTGAAACACCAGGAAGGTGTAATAGTTTTGCAGCATACCTGTAATAGGCTGATAGTGACCCCCCCAAGATGCTCATAACCTAATCCCAGGAACCGGTGAACATGACCTCATGTGGTAAAAAAGGCTTTGCAGATATAATGAAGTTAAGGACTTTTGGCCAGGAAGATTATTCTGGCTTGTCACAGTGGGGTTGATGTACTCACACAGATCCTTATCAGAGCAGAGCAGGTGATGGAGAGCGATGGGAAGTGTAGTGATGGAAGCAGGAACCTCGAGTCATTCAAGAAGGGCAGCACAAGCTGAGGAGTGCAGGATGCCTCCAGGGCCAGGAAACTCATTCTCCTACAGAGCCTGGGAAGGTACCTGCCCTGCTCCCACCTTGAATCAGTGCGACTGACTTTAGAATTCTGGTCTTCAGAACTGTAAGGGAAAACCTGTGTTGCTTTTTTTTTTAGACAGAGTTCCGCTCTTTTTACCCAGGCTGGAGTGCGATGGCACGATCTCGGCTCACTGCAACCTCTGCCTTCCAGGTTGAAGCAATTCTCCTGCCTCAGCCTCCTGAGTAGCTGGGATTACAGGCCCGCACACCATGCTCAGCTAATTTTTATTTTTAGTAGAGACAAAGTTTCATCATGGTCTCGGCCTCAGGTGATGGTCTCGATCTCCTGACCTTGTGATCCACCCGCCTCCTCCCAAAGTGCTGGGATTACAGGCGTGAGCCGGCATGCTCTTTAACTTTATAATTTGATCTTTACTTTGTTATTGTAATTCAGTCCAAAGAAAAATAGTGTGAGGAAAATAAAAATAACACCAAAAATGCTAATATTCTGTTCATCAAAGTTTGCAGTGAAATATCCCATTACAGCCAGGCAGGGTGACTTACCTCTGTAATCCTAGCACTTGGGAGGCCAAGGCAGGTGAATCACCTGAGGTCAGGAATTGGAGACCAGGCTGGCCAACATGGCAAAACCGCATCTCTATGAAAAATACAAATTAGCCAGTTATGGTGGTGAGTGCTTGTCATCTTAGCTACTTGGGAAGCTGAGATAAAAGAATCACCTAAACCCAGGAGGCAGAGGTTGCAGTGAGCTAAGATCACCATTGCACTCTAGCAGGGTGACAAGAGCAAAACTCCAGCTCAAAAAGAAAAGAAAAGATCGGTAGATCCCATTACTTTAAGGCAATGTAGATACAGCCAAACTGTCTAAAGAAATCTGAACCACATTATAAAGTGAGAAAAACATACCAGCTAATATTATTTAATACATATAGTACTAAATGGAAGAGGTAATATTTTCAAAACATAAACATTAGTGTAACCTTATTGGACTTACAAAAATAATTTTTTTAATAACAGAAACAAAGATTCCCTGAACTGCAACTTTTAAGCTAGCATTTATTTACTCAAGACTCAACTAACATAACAGCTATAAAAAGTCAAGAGCTGGGCTGGGCATGGTGGCTCATGCCTGTAATCCCCACATTTTGGGAAGCTGAGGCAGGCAAATCACCTGAGGTAGACCGTTCCAGACTAGCCTGACCAACATGAAAAAAACCCCATCTCTAATAAAATATAAAATTAACTGTGGCATATGCCTGTAATCCCAGCTACTCTGGAGGCTGAGGCAGAAGAATAGCTTGAACCCGGGAAGCAGAGGTTGCAGTGAGTCGAGATTGAGCTATTGCCCTACAGCCTGGGCAACAAGAGCAAAACTCCATCTCAAAAAAGAAAAAAGTCAAGTGTTAGCCAGGTGGGAGTGGCTCGCACCTGTAACCCCAGCACTGTGGGAGGCCAAGGTGGGTGGATCACCTGAGGTCAGGAGTTTGAGACTAGCCTGGCCAACATGGTGAAACCCCATCTCTACCAAAAATACAAAAATTAGCTGGGCATGGTGGCACTCACCTGTAGTCCTAGCTACTAGGGAGGCTGAGGCAAGAGGATAAATTCAACCTGAGAAGTGGAGGTTTCTGTCAGCTGAGATCACACCACTGCACTCCAGCCTGAGTGAAAGAGCAAGACTCTGTTTCAAAGAAAAAAAAAAGAAAAGTCAAGAGCATGAAGAATATTCAAATCAAACATAACCAACAGTCTCCATCAAAACAGCTCCATTTATTTGCTATCAGTATGTGTTAAGGTCTATCTGCTAAACACTGATATTTGTACTCATGTTTCAAGTGCACATTAGTGCTTAGATTTAATATCCTTTGCTGTACACTAACCTTGAATATCATACTTTCATATTACAAAAAAAGTATCTTTCCCTAAGGCAATTACCATTAATAATGCTTTAAAATTATAAAGTGTGAAGATAGTTTTTATAATTTCACAACAGCTGAACATTGTCTTTAAACAAAATAATCTAATAAACCACCATCACAACAAAAGCCCCACAACATAACCAATTTCACCTTATAAAAGCACTGATATTTATAAAAATTATCAGTCAATGTATAAAACAGTGAATTCATAAAACTTTAACAGCAAATGATTTTTACTCAGAATAGTACTAAATTAACAATATCATAAAATCATAGGCCAGGTGTAGTGGCTCACACCTGAATTTCCAGCACTTTGGGAGGCCAAGCCGGGTAGATCACTTGAGGTCAGGAGTTCAAGACCAGTCTGGCCAACATGGTGAAACCCTGTCTCTACTAAAAATACACAGGTTAACTGAGCATGGTGGTGCACGCCTATGATCCCCGCTACTTGGGAGGATGAGGCAGAAGAATTGCTTGAAACCATGAGGCAGAGGTTGCAGTGAGCCAAGATCTCATGCCACTGCACTTCAGTCTGTGCAACAGAGCAAGATTCTGCCTCAAAAAATAAATAAATAAGTAAATTAAACATAAGCAAGATGCATTTATTATGTATTTATATACCCGGTATTATGTGAAGCAGTGTAGCATGCTATCAAATCTTCGAGATAGATCTTCAGTTCTCATGACCACTAAAGAGCATACTAAGGCTCAGACAGAATAAGAGACTTGGCCAAGCTGACCTCATGATCTGCCCGCCTAGGCCTCCCAAAGTGCTGGGATTACAGGCATGAGCCACCATGCCCAACCAAATACCGAATTTAACAAAGCAGATAAAGAGAAATAATTAGTTTTAAAAAATTAATTAAATCCCTAAGATCCAGGGCTTTGCAATAAATATGTAAATAAATCGCCAATATTCATGCTGAAAGTTTAAAAGAAATGCTAACTGATAATTTAAGAAATACAACTTTTCCTTAGCTTTACAGTAATCTAGAAAGAAAGTTTCTAATATTTAGACAGACACTACAAGATGAACAGTGACTCCATTGTATAAACACTCATGAACAAAGTATTACAGGACTTTTCCAGTTTAGACTTACCATATTTTCTTTCAGATAGTTCTTCAATGTGTTTACATAGATCAGTGATACGATCATTGCATTTCTCTGAAAATGAGCAAAGATTGATTGTCAATAATATGTCCCTATGTCAGAGCAACATTAACGTATAATGACTTATTTCCTATATTTTACATCTCAACAGTCCATATCATTTTACTGCTTTTGAAAAAATTTTCCCTTTTTTGGTGGTTCTTATAATTAGTTTAATTGGGACTGTAAAAAAAGTTTTAAAGTTTAGTACATCTTTTTATCCTTTTAATTTCTGAAAAGGAGGAGGGCAGAAAAGATCCATCAAATTAAATAACAAGGAGGCCACAACGACAATGTCTCCAGGGGTCTTTTAGCAAACTTCCTAAAACATGTCTCACTTCTGTGGAAATAAGACTTTACAGCAGCCAGTGAGGCCATGTAGGCCTGTAATCCTAGCACTTAGGGAGCAGAGGTAAGTGGATCGCTTTGAGCTGAGGGCAACATAGCAGAAACTTCCGTCCCCTCCCCCACCTTCCACTGCCCCCTCCATGTGCCCATCTCATCCAAAAATACAAAACTTAACCAGACATGGTGGCAGGCACCTGTAGTCCCGGGTACTCAGGAGGTTGAGGTAGAAGAATCACTTGAACCCAGGAGACAAATGTTGCAGGGAACGAAGACTGCAGCCAGCCTGTGCAAAAGAGCAAGACTCCATGTCAAAAAAGAAAACCCCAAAGCAAAAATCCCAACCCTTTTCCTCCCAATCACTGAAACACCAGGAAGGTGTAATAGTTTTGCGGCATACCTGTAATAGGCTGATAGTGACCCCCCAAGATGCTCATAACCTAATCCCAGGAACCGGTGAACATGACCTCATATGGTAAAAGGGGCTTTGCAGATATAATAAGTTAAGGACTTTAGGCCAGGAAGATTATTCTGGCTTGTCACAGTGGGGTTGATGTACTCACCCAGATCCTTACCAGAGCAGAGCAGGTGATGGAGAGCGATGGGAAGTGTAGTGATGGAAGCAGGACCTCGAGTCATTCAAGAAGGGCAGCACAAGCTGAGGATTCCAGGAAGCCTCCAGGGCCAGAAACTCATTCTCCTTCAGAGCCTGGGAAGGTATCTGCCCTGCTTCCACCTTGAGTCAGTGGGACTGACTTTAGAATTCTGGCCTTCAGAACATAAGCGAATACATCTGTGTTGCTTTTTTTTTTTTTTTTTCCAGACAGAGTTCCCCTCTTTTTACTTAGGCTGGAGTGTGATGGCACAATCTCGGCTCACTGCAACCTCCGCCTTCCAGGTTGAAGCAATTCTCCTGCCTCAGCCTCCTGAGTAGCTGGGATTACAGGTATGCACTACCACACCCAGCTATTTTTATATTTTTATTAAAATATAAAAATAGTTTCTCCATGTTGGTCAGGCTGGTCTCGAACTCCCAACCTCAGGCTATCCGCCCGCATCAGCCTCCCAGAGTGGATTACAGGCGTGAGCTACCATGCCCAGCTATGTCTATGTTGTTTTAAGCCCTAAATGTGTGGTAATTTGTTGCAGCAGAAACAGGAAACTAGTATCGTAGTGAAGCCTCAAAACCCACCTGAAGGGGCTGGGTGCAGTGGTTCATGCCTGTAATCCCAGCATTTTGGGAGGTCAAAGTGGGCAGATCACTTGAGGTCAGAAGTTTGAGACCAGCCTGGTCAACATGGTGAAACCCTTTCTCTGCAAAAAAACTAGCTGGTGTGGTGGCATGGCACATGCCTGTAATCTCAGCTACTTGGAAGGCTAAGACATGGGAACAGTTTGAACCTGAAGAGGGGGAGGCGGAGGTTGTAGTGAGCCAAGATTGTGCCACTGCACTCCAGCCTGGGTGAGAGAGCCAGACTCCATCTCAAAACACACCTGGCTAATTTTTGTGTTTTTAGTAGAGACAGGTTTTGCCATGTTGCCCAGGCTCTACTCAAACTCCTGGCCTCAAGCGGTCCACCTGTCTCAGCTTCCCAAAGTGCTGGGATTACAGGTGTGAGCTATGGCACTCAGCACTCACCAAGGCCTTTGACAACATGCTTTTCCATGTGATCAGTCCTTGTCTGGTCTGGCTCTGCCACACTCTCCACTACACCAAGTTGGAATCCTTAGCTACTTTTCAGAAGAGGAGGGTGTGTACTTTAATCACAGCTCCGTATGGTTCAGATCTGCATTTAACTCGTGGAACCTGGCTGCTTCCCAGGCCCTGGAGAAAAAAGGGTCTCTGTGGGTATGATACAGGATGAGCCAAGATCATGCCACTGCACTCCAGCCTGGGCTACAACAGCGAGACTCCATCTCAAGAAAACAAAAAACAAAACAAAACAAACAGACTCCATCTAAAAGAAAAACAAAGACAAAACAAAAACAAATGTGGCATGGCAAAGAAAATAATTACTGTTAAAAACAGTTTCATAGAAAATAAAAGACAATACAATAAGCTGTCTTTTTAGATTAGTACAATTGTTATTCTTATTTTACAGCTAAAAAAATGAGCTCAGGGCAAGTGTGGTGGCTCACACCTGTAATCACAGCATTTTGAGAGGCTAAGGCAGGTGGATCATGAGGTCAAGAGATCAAGACGATCTCTGCCAAAATGGTGAAACCGCATCGCTACTAAAAACAAAAATTAGCTGGATGTGGTGGCACGTGCCTGTAGTCCAAGCTACTCAGGAGGCTGAGGCAGGAGAATCACTTGAACCCGAGAGGTGGAGGTTGCAGTGATCCAAGATGACACCACTGCAAAAGAGCAAGACCCCCTCTCTAAAAAATAAAAAATAAATAAGTAAAAGAGTAACAGGCTCAGAGAATGTTATTTGATTGGACCATCTTGCATCTCTGGACAGAGAAGCTGAGATCAGACTTCATGTGTAACTCCCCTAGCCTACCAGGGTGCCTCTCATAAAAGGAAGACATATAAATTTGGTCTAATATACAAAGATGCTGGAACAGTCAATTCTACATACAGTACTTCCATGTTCATCAAGGGAAACCTTAAGGGAAGGTGAAAATGCTTCTTGAAGGGACTGGACACCAGTGCCCTTACTTGTTGCCTTTCGGCTCTTCCTCCAAGGGTAACGGTGACCTGAAATTACTGACTGTTCCAATCAACGGGAGGAAATGGTACCAAGGTGACCAACATCAGGCAAATTCACCTGAGGACTATCTGTGTGCCTTGACAGACAAAAACTGCTTTTGTAAAGGATACTGTATTTCAGAAAAACATAATCACATTAACAACTAATAACACTGTAAAATGCTGTTGTGTTGAATGCTACTTTAGAAAAATATGCTCAAATGTACAGAAAAATTGTGATAGAAAACTACTTATCAAGTATCTAGCTAGCTATCTAGAGACATGGTCTCATTCTTTTGCTCAGGATGGAGAGCTGTGGGATGACCCTAGTCACTGCAGACCTGCTCCTGGCCTCAGGTGATCCTCCTGCCTCAGCATCCTAAGTGGCAGGAGACACAAGTGGACACAGTTACACCTGCCTTTTTCATTTGTTTTGTAGAGTCAGGGTTTCACTACATTGCCCAGGCTGGTCTCAAACTCTGGAGTCTCGCTCTGTCAACCAGGCTAGGGTTCAGTGATGTGATCTTGACTAACTGCAACCCCTGCCTCCTGGGTTTAAGCAGTTCTCCTGTCTCAGCCTCCCGAGTAGCTGGGACTACAGGCATGTGCCACCACATGTGGCTAATTTTTGTAGAAACTGGGTTTCATCACGTTGGCTACACTGATCACGAACTCCTGACCTCAGGTGATCCACCTGCCTTGGCCTCCCAAAGTGCTGGAATTACAGGTGTGAGCCAGCAAGCCAAGCCACGGACTTTGTTATTAAATAGCCTAAACCAAGTGAGGCGCCGTGGCTCACACCTTTAATCCCAACAACTCTGAAGGCCAAGGTGAGAAGATGGCTTGTACTCAGGAGTTCGAGACCGGCCTGGGCAAAATGGGAGCATCTCCCCCTCCCATCTCTACAAAAAAATACAAAATATTAGGTCAGGCATGCACTGTGCCTGGCTAATTTTTGTATCTTTTGTAGAGACGGGGTTTTCTCATGTTGCTCAGGCCGGTCTCTCACTCCTGATTCCAAGCCATCCTCCCGCCTCAGCCTCCCAAAATGCTGGGATTACAGGGCCCAGGCAGCCTCAATTTTTCTTCAAGCAGTCCCCCAATGTCGCACGCTTGGATAGTTTTTTAATTTTTTTAGACCGGGTTTACCTCAGTCTCGCAGGCTGGAGTGCCGTGGTAGGATCATAGCTCATTGCAGCCTTGAACCTTGGGGTTCAAGTAGCTGGGAGGCTGAGGTGGGATACCGAAATGGGGTCACACCACTTTGCTAGGCTGCTCTTGAACTCCTGGCCTGAAGAAAACTTCCCACCTCCCCAGTGTCCGGACACACTTTTTCTATTTTTTAACCCACATAAATACTGTGCTGGGTCGGAATTTGTTACCTACCCTTCTCCAGCCAGCAGCACAGGACGCGGCGGAACATGGAGGTTACCGGACTCTGCTCTGGGGAGAAGACAACACAGCTCCTAGGCAACACACCTCCGCGTGAAGTCGCCTAAGGCTCGCCTCTGTGACGTCGCCGGAGGCCCGTCTCCGTGCGCCGTAATGTCACCGGAGGCACCCGCCGAAGCGTCACCGGAGGCGCCCGCCTGACGTCACTAGAGGCGCGCCGCCATGATGTTTTCAGAGGCCGGCCCTCACGCGGAGCCAATCGGAAGTAGAGGCGGTGCCGCTGGGTCTTCCAGGAGCGCGCATGCGCAGGCTGGTGATGGAAGCCGCTGCAGAGCCGGTACATCCGCATAGACAGGCTCCCGACTGGCTGCAGTCACCTATAAACTCCAAAGAGGAGTTTTAAGATTTCCCAGTCTGCAGGGCCAGGAGCGGCAGGGACCCGACTCAGCGAGTAGATGCTGCCCACCAACCTCCCGGCACCTGTAGGCACGAGTGCAAGGTCGCGCAGAAGCTCCTCAATGGACAGTGAAGGGCTACCAGTGCCACTGCTACTCCGGACACGTATTCTTGCCTCAGCCCAGGTACGTGCGACCCCTAATACCTTTACCAGCCAGGGACCCCAGGAGCATCCTTCACCGCTGCTCATCCTGGGCAGGGCAGGGCAGGGCAGGGCAGGGCGAGGCAAGGCAATTCGAGGCATGGCAAGGCAGGGCAGGGCAATTCCAGGGAAGGAAATTCAAGGCCAGTCACTCGCAGAGCACTACACTTTAAGGCAGGGGTCAGATCCAAGTCACAGGGCTTGTGCTATCTCTAGGTGACCAATCCGGGAGCAGGGCAAAACCTCGATCTTCCCTCCACACTGCCACACCTGCAGAAGAAGACCAAAAAGATCACCTGTGCTTCACAGTCAGTGAATTGCGTAGCTTACTGACACAGGAGACTACATTTTAGAACCATTTTTAAAGAATGTATATTCAGTCCTCCCACTCCTGTCTTTATATTGCCTCCTATCCTTCTTATCTGACTCATCATTCCTTAGAAGTTTACCAAACTGCTTCTCTCCTGACATCCAAACAACTGCTGAAATCATACTCCCTTCAGGAAGTCTTCCTAAATCGACCAAAGGAGGGGCAGCCTCTGCTCCCTCATCCCCAAGGAAAGTGCCCATGTCCTGAGAGGGGCCATGCCCTGAGCCACTCTCACGGCACTAAGTTTCTCGTGCCCCTTCTCTGCCTGCACACTAGACATAGGGCAGTGTGGCAGACAGACACCAAAGTGACCCCATGATGCTTTGCCCCTGGCTGCCAGCTGTGCAAGGATGGAGTAGGTTGAGCCCCAATTTATTCATCTGCAAAAAGGGCACAACCACTATTTGAGTTGTCAGCATGAGTTGTCAGCAGGATTAAATGCCATAGCAAGGAATCAGCTACGGCAGGCTCTGAGATAACTTGAGGTACACCTTCTCTTTCATTATCCTTCTCTGGCTCTCCTCATTGGCCCCAGAATCATGTGGAGGTTACATCCCGCTTGCACTCAGGTATTATTCTTTCTAGCCAAACATTCAAAAATCCAATACAACCTTACTCCAATTTTCCTAGTTGATGAAGGTTTTCAATTCATATAATTAGGGGCAAAAAATGAACTGTTGGCATAAAAAATCTTAAATTCAAGTTAAAGTCAAGATTGCCTAGGCTGGGCATGGTGGCTCATGCCTGTAATCCCAGCACTTTAGGAGGCTGAGGCAGGCAGATCACTTGAGGTCAGGAGTTTGAGACCAGCCTGGCCAACATGGTGAAACCCCGTCTCTACCAAAAATACAAAAATTAGCCAGGTGTGGGGTGTGCACCTGTAATCCCAGATGCTCAGGAGGCTGAGGCAGGAGAATCACTTGAACCTGGGAGGTGGAAGTTGCAATGAGCCTAGATCACGCCACTGTACTCCAGCCTGGGGAATAGAGAGAGTGTCTCAAAAGAAAAAAAAGATTGCCATTTATGAAATAATGCTCATAATTAGCTTTCCAAAAAATTTTCAAACTCTGCTCTTCCAATTTAGTCCCAGTTGCTAAACTCCTTTCATCATTTATCTTTTCCTCTCTCTCTTTCTCACACACACATATAGAGACATTAAGCTTCTCCTGATAATATTACTTTGTGCCATACACTCTCCTAATACTTTCCATAAATTTAATCCTCCCCATGCCTGTATCCCCCTTTAAGTAACCTGTCCACGTTTATCAGCTAGTAAATGACAGAGCTGCACTGTGAACCCAGGCAGTCACATGTTCAGTTCTGGCACAGTGCATGAATACACGAGGTGCTCAACAAATGTTGTTTTTTGAGACAGAGTTTCGTTCTTGTTGCCCAGACTGGAGTGCTATGGTGCAATCCCAACTCACAGCAACCTCCACCTCCTGGGTTCAAGCGATTCTCCTGCCTCAGCCTCCCAAGTAGCTGGGATTACAGGCATACACCACCACACCCAGCTAATTTTGTATTTTTAGTAGAGATGAGGTTTCTCCATGTTGGTCAGGCTGGTCTTGAACTCTCAATCTCAGGCAATCTGCCCACCTCAGCCTCCAGAGTGCTGAGACTACAGGCGTGAGCCACCACACCCCGCCCCATCTCCCTTCTTCTTCTTTTTTTTTTAATTGCATTTTAGGTTTTGGGGTACATGTGCAGAACATGCAAGATAGTTGCATAGGTACACACGTGGCAGTGTGATTTGCTGCCTTCCTCCTCTTCACCCACATCTGGCATTCCTCCCCATGCTATCCCTCCCCAACTCCCCCCCACCGCTGTCCCTCCTCTATTCCCCCAATAGACCCCAGTGTGTAGTACTCCCTTCCCTGTGTCCATGTGTTCTCATTGTTCATCACCTGCCTATGAGTGAGAATTTGCGGTATTTCATTTTCTGTTCTTGTGTCAGTTTGCCAAGAATGATGTTCTCCAGATTCATCCATGTCCCTACGAAGGACATGAACTCATTGTTTTTGATTGCTGCATAATATTCCATGGTGTATATGTGCCACATTTTCCCAGTCCAGTCTATCATCAATGGGCATTTGGGTTGGTTCCAGGTCTTTGCTATTGTAAACAGTGCTGCAATGAACATTCGTGTGCATGTGTCCTTATATTAGAACTATTTATAGTCCTTTGAGTATATACCCAGTAATGGGATTGCTGGGTCAAATGGAATTTCTATTTCTAGGTCCTTGAGGAATGGCCACACTGTCTTCCACAATGGTTGAACTAATTTACACTCCCACCAGCAGTGTAAAAGTGTTCCTATTTCTCCACATCCTCTCCAGCATCTGCTGTCTCCAGACTTTTTAATGATCACCATTCTAACTGGTATGAGATGGTATCTCAATGTAGTTTTGATTTGCATTTCTCTAATGACCAGTGGTGATGAGCATTTTTTCATATGTTTGTTGGCCTCAGGTACATCTTATTTTGTAAAGTGTCTGTTCATATCCTTTGCCCATTTTTGAATGGGCTTGTTTGTTTTTTCTTGTAAATCTCTTTTAGTTCTTTGTAAATTCTTGATATCAGCCTTTTGTCAGATGGGTAAACTGCAAAATTTTTTTTCCCATTCTGTTGGTTGCCGATTCACTCTAATGACTGTTTCTTTTGCTGTGCAGAAGCTGTGGAGTTTGATTAGGTCCCATTTGTCTATTTTGGCTTTTGTTGCCAATGCTTTTGGTGTTTCTTAACTTTTCCTGCCTATCATCTCCATTTACACACATTAATAGGCACCATCCGTGCCGTGGCCACTAGATGTCAGAATAAAGCACTCCATGGAGCTCTGATGTTCAAGATCTACTACTGGATAAAGATCTTAGTAAGTGCTTAGACGTTTTAAAAGGCAAATAGTAACACACAAACTAAGAAGCTGGATATAAGCAGAACTGCTTGATCCAAGGAAAAAGGGTCACTGTATATTTTAATAAAAGTCCATTTTTAAGATTACAAAATATTAAAGAAATAGAATTTCTTGTAGAAACTGAAATGGCAATGTTCTATGTGTATTTGAGAGAATGAAAACAGAGAGACTCAGCCTAGATGTGGAAGAGGAGAACAAAGCATAAGGAACTCAGAAATAATAATGGCTTTGGGTCCTAAGTTGAAGAATTGGGGTTCCAGCTAAATTCACCTAAAGCTCTGGTAGATAAGAAAACCCAGCCACAAAGTCTGGGGCCACCCTCAAGACTTTGCTAAGTATCATATGTAAGTAATTCTTTTTGCATTTGTATTTTGTATGTTAGAGACTATGTGCACTCCTGATGTCTATTCTGCTCTACATCTACAATTACAGAACAGACATCTGGGCACATAACCCACTAACTAAAGTCTAAACTTCCCAGACTCGTTTGCACACAGGTGTGGCCATGTGACTAGGTAATGATCAATAGAATGTGAAAAGAAGCAATATACACAACTTTCAGATAGTGCTCTTAGAAAGAAAGAGCTTGCTTTCTCTTTCCCCCTTTCTCTTCCTACTGGCTAGAATACAAATATGGTGTTGAACGTGGCTGGACCACAAACTAAAACTCTTGGTCCCTCTCACCCTCGAGCTGCCATATCAATCCTGAACTGCTTATGTGCAGTAAGTTATAGGAAAGAGAAATTACTTTCTATCATGTTGAAGTTTCTGTTATTTTAGCCTGTCAGAGAAGCTGAATGAGCATTCTAATTAATATTATTATAAAGTCATATAAAATTCATTTTTACATTTTGACTATACTATCATTCTTATGAAATACATTAAACAATGTTTCTCTTTATTTCACAAATGGGAAAACTGATCGAGACCACTGTATTTGTCTGTTTTCACACTTCTATAAGGAACTGTCTGAGACTGCGTAATTTATAAAGGAAAGAAGTTTAATTGACTTACAATTAAATTTAACTGACTTACATGGCTGGAGAGGCCTCTGGAAAATTACAATCATGGCAGAAGGCAAAGGGAAAGCAAGGTACCCTCT